GGCTTTACACAATTGATGTGTGTATGGATTGGGATAACAGTTGTATGAGCCCCTAATAAAATGTTTAAAAAATAAATAAAATAAAATTGAGCGCATGTTACATATGGGATTTATAGATTGCTAAAAGTGTTCTGGTTCATGTTTTTCTTGTTTTCAAGCAACTCTTGATAACTTGAGTAACTTATATCTGATCTATCCCCAGCCTTATCCCCTCCCTGGACTAAACACAGCCATGCCCCTTTCTTGATTATTCTCATCCATTAGCCCTCTTTCCTTGACCTACTCCCTGTGTTCTGACACCTAATGCCGGAGCTAAGTGGATGTGCAGTGGCCCAGCCTTTCTCCATTAGAGTAAGCAATCCTGGTACGCCTTCACTGAGAGAGCCTGGCTATTGGGAGCCCCAGTGTAGGAGTTTTGACTTTGCACTTCCAGTCAGACACAGGATCCAGATACTCACGGATTATTCTCCAGCCCCTGCTTTCCTTAGCTAAAGTTGGACAGAGTAACAGTTACCCTTTGGTGTTTAAGGATTAAATAAGATATGCTTATAGTAAAATGCTTCATAAGGTTCTTATTTAACTAGTGGTGTTACTTCAGTGTAGATCAAAAGGACAGAGGAGAGAGAAAAAAAAAAAAAAAAGCCTGTTTGCTTCCTAGTCAGAACTAGTCTTTAGGGAACTTTGAAGGACTTTGAGAGAAAGGAATTTTGGAGAAAAGCAATGAAAGACTGTTTGGTTTCCCCCAGGTGAAGAAGGGAGCCTTGTGTTACTTGGCAGAAGTCTGGGGGCAGCACTGGTTGGACCATATGGGTGTTGGATAACTCCTGACTCCCAGAGCAGAGGCTCTGCAGATGAATAAGGGTGTCTGACTCCCTCACAGTTTCAGCTTATTTAACACATGATGTGTACCATGGCTTGTCAAGATAATAGAACGGTGTCCTCCCAAATGCTCTTCCTTCATTTTTATTGGAATGTAGCACATATGCAAATAGGTTTGTTCGTGTTAACTGAAGGTTTTGTAAATCCTGATGAAGTCTCAAAATTAGAATAGATCCATGTAACCAATCCACAAGTCAAGACACAGAAAACAGCCAGTCTTCCCACCTCATCTTGTTCCTCTCAGTTACTGTTCCCATCCACCTGCCCCCCACGCGGATTTATTCTCCATGGATTCGTTTCATTGGTTGGAGCATTATATAAACGGAAGCACATGTGTGCCTGGCGGCTTTTGTTTGAGATTGTGTTTTTGAGACTCGTCCATGCTGTTGCAGGTGGTTGTAGTTTTTCGTTCTGGTTGATTTATCGTATATAAACCCATGACTACATCATTGTTTTTCCACTTTGCTGTTGGTGGTGAGGAGCTCCGGTGGTGTAGTGGATGACACTTTGAGCTGCTAACTGCAAGGGCAGTAGTTGGAAACCACCAGTTGCTCCTTGGGAGGAAATAAGGCTTTTTACTCATAGAGATTTACAGTCTTGGAAGCCACAGGGGCAGTTCTGCTCTGCCCAGTAGGGTCACTATGGGCCAAAATTGACTCATTGGCAGTATGTTATTGATGGTGTATGTGTAATTTCCACTTTTGGGTTATTATGAGTAATGCAGCTATAAAAATTCTTATGCATACATTTTTTCTATTTATGGTGTTTTACTCTTACCTAAATATATGAAGGGCTTCAAGAAGTTCATTAAAAAATTTCATTATCTTTTAATTCCACTTTTTCTCACAAGCGATTTGAAGCCCTGTCATACATATTTAAAATATTGTTTTCTATTCTTACATTTTAGGCCCTTGTCATCAGTAGAGCTGCTTTTTTAATCATCTACCACGAATTTCCAGAAGGCCATATTATTTCCATTGAGTTTGTGTGAAATCCAATACTTTTGAATACATGTATAATGCTGTAACCAGTAGCCACTATTATATCATTAGGACTATGGATTTCTTCACTTGTTTTGTACAATTATATATAGGAGTTTAACAATGTAACCAGATCCAGTTACTTTACCTTTACAATTTTGGGGGGAGTCAGAAAGTTCAATTTATTGGTGGGCACATGTCAGGCAGGGCAAAGGGCTACCAAGGGCTGCATGCATGCAGGACCCACCCATCAGAGGGGCTGAGATTTGGGATGCATTTGACTCCACACCTACCTGGGATCAGGTGCTTCCAGCTCCCAGCTCTTCAAACTCGTCAGCTGTAAACTTGGTGAATTTCACTTCCTGAGACGTGGATCTTCTGGCAGTACTGGAATTTGAACTTGGCTCTCTGTAAGGCCTCAGTCACGTGCTCCTTGATTTGAAGCAAGATGACTTGGCCAATGTCGGCCCTAGCCACCGTGTTTTGAGTTCTCCAAAAGCGTCTCGCATCCCAGTCTGGAGCTTAGGTTAGGGACAGCAGAAATTAGCAGCTATGTCAGAGCCAACGATGAGCAATAAAGGCTGCCTCCCAGGTCCCTGAGGGCAGTCTGCTCGCCAGCAGGATGCGTGCAGACACTACCAAGATGGGTGGCTGTTTGCAGCCATGGCACCCTGGCCCCACGGGAAGGAGGTACGCTCGGCTTATGTGCTGCAGATGTAGTGCTTTTAAAAGTGATCTCTAAAGGGCTGATTGAGGAAGCTATCCTGGACGAATCCGAAGTGCTTGGCTGCTAACTGCAAGGTTAGAAGTTTGAACTCAAGCATGGCTTCCCTGGAAAAAGATGTAGCAATCTGGTTTCATGAGTGTCACAGCCAAGAATACCCTTTGGAGCAGTGCTCTTCTGTCACTGGGCTCACAGTGAGTCGGAATACACTCAAAGGCACTGAAACAGGAGGAGTGACATTCTCTGTCTGCAAAGATAGCCTATGTTTGTGAGTATGCAGTCCTTCTCCAGAGACAATCATTACAGTATCCGTGATACATCTCTTATTTTTACTGACTCCATCGGATGTATTCTCTCAGATTATGCTGATTGATGTACATGTAGGCCGATGTGTCTTACCTAAATAGTCACTTATTGTTAAAAATGATTTAAACTATGAGTTTCTCCTCTCCAAAAACTGTTGCATGGTTCAAATGTGAAAGGCATGTAAGGTACTAAATATACATGGACTATGTGCCTGATATGTAGCAGGTGCTTAATTCCCCCACCCTCCTCCGGTATTGGTTTCTAACCACCTTTCTGCAGTTGTTCTCCTTGCTTGGCTTCAGTGTTGTCTGGTGGATTCATGCTGCCTTTGGAGACACTGTCTGCACACTGCCCTTTTCCTCCTCCCAGATCCTAGATCTCTGCTACGTAAAGCACAAGTCCATGGGCCCGCAGCAGTAGAATCACCTGAGAACTTCTTTACCTGTGCAATTCTGTTGGTTATATACTTAGTATATGCATTAGGCTGGACTCCCTAGAGAAGCAAAATGAGTGACACGTATATTTATATAGAGACATTTATATCAAGAAAAAGGGCTTACACAGTTGTAGAAGTGGTTAAATGAAATTTGGTTGTGAGAGGTGCCTCCTGGAGGTTTTTTCAGACTCCCATGGCTGCCTGAGGCTGGGAAGCCAGATCCAAGGCCCTGGGAGGCTGAGACAAATCACCAGATCAGATGTGGTGGCCACCCATGGGTGCCTCTGAGGATCAGCAGGCAATAGTGTAGGCCATTGACACCCCTCCCAACAGACCAGATGCAAGCTCCAAGCCCGCCAGAGGAGAGGCAGGTCCAGTTCTCAGAGTGCCTCTTCTATAGATACCCAATAAGCCACACCCACAACGGGACAGCATCAAGCGCTGGCTTATTGCCCAACCACAAAGACACACAGCCGGGCCAAGTTGACCCCAAACCTATAGTATAGCATATATGCCTGTGTTCAGTTTTCGTAGTTACTATTTTTTTTGGTACCAATTTACCATTTCCAAAGTTTGCGTTATTAAAATCATGGAAGTGCAAAGAAACTGAAGTATATAGAGTTTATTCAAGCAATTATCGAATATGCTCATGTATAAGCCGAGTTTGTCAGCACATTGTTGATGCAGTTTTTGTTGTAAAATTGGGTGTCTCGGCTGATAGTCAGGTCGACTTGTACTCGAGTATATATGGTAAATTTGGGTATACAAGGGCACCTCTCTATTCAAAACACAGTTATACTACCTTTATTTCACAATCATACAACATTTGGTTCATTTTAGTCCAGTTATAATGACAGGAGAAAAAGGAAATAGAGTAGGAAATTAACCGTTGGCTAATCTTAGCAAGATTGACTTCAGCATGCTGCTCTTCCTGGGAACGAGTTACTAGGTGGTCCCTGTGGTCCAACCAGAACCGCTTTCATTTGCACACATCCTCTGCCTACTCAGGCGGTTCTAAAATATAAGGCTTCTTAGAGCTACTCAGAAATTTTAAAGTTTTCCAATTACCTCTGGGGAATCAGAGGGCTTACTTCAAGTTACTTATTTGCATTACGTAAACTGTGAGTTCATTTATAGCTAACAGATGTTTGGGTCACAGAGGACATCTTCATAGTCACTGTATCTCCACAGTATCTCTTTCTAATGTTCTTGAGTGTGTTCCACACTCCTCAGTGATGAGTCTGGATTTTCCTACAAACTCAGAAGAATCTGTCAGTATGGGTCTCAGTTTCCTCTGTTTTTTTTGTTTTGTTTTTTGAAGAAAATAATATTCTCTCTTCTTGGTCATATTCACATCCTGAGAACTTACCAGAGATCTTGAGCACTGCTTAGTACAGATCTTCCTCACCAGGGCAACCTGCATTTTTATGCTCAGTCTAGTTTATATATACCCAGTCACCTCTCTGTATGGCCAAAACTAGTTAATTTTTGTAAACTCAGTTTGTGAATTGATGATCATTTTTTAGATAGAGAAAAGGAGGGCATGTTTAAGTTGCAACATTGAGTCTTTTGGTTTTAACATTACATTGTTACAAAACACCATTGGTAACCCTAAAGTGTATTTTCCACAAGAAATCTAGTTTTTGAGGTTTAGGAAACTATTCTTGTATCTGAGCTTTCTGTAAGTTTCATTGACTAGAAACTTTTTCTAATTTCCATTGAGTGTTATGTCCAAGTGGGCAATACTTTATTCTCTTGTTACATATTATTGATCACTCATATTTCTAATTTTCCTTTTGAGTAGATGCTTATGTATATATGTACACCTGGGTTCATTGCAGCACAATTCACAAAGGCTGGACACTGGAAGCACTATTAAGTTCTGTCAACAGATGAATGAATAAGCAAAATGTGGTGCATACATACAATGGAATACTGCATAACAATAAAATGAGTATGAAATATAGCATAGATCTTGAGTACATCATGCTAAGTGAAATAAGTCAATCCTATAAGGACAATTGTTGCATGAGCCCATGTTTATAAGAAGTCAAGAATAGATATACTAGTGTATATATGGAGACCAGTGGTGGTTACCAGGGACTGGGCAGGAGAATGGGAAAATGACCTTCCTATTTAGATTATAGATGCTTGCTATTTTTGGTGAGGGAAAAAGTAGCGCATAGTGTGGGTGTATTTAGTACAAAGTGAGTAATGCCATTAAGATGTGTGCAAGAGAAAACGGTGTTTGTACTAAAGAATATGACATAATTTGATGACAGCACCAGCAAAACCACGAAACCAGTGGATGTGGAGGTGTCTGGGCACGGATATGTGTGGACAGGTACAGGTGAGTACCTGTGCGTGCACCAAAACCCTCACCGGCATCGAGTCAATTCCAATTCACCGTGACTCTAAAGGAGGAAGGAGAACTTATTATAGGTTTCGGAGGCTGTAAATCTTTATGGGAAAAGAAAACCTCTTCTTTCGCCTTAAGAGTGACTGACTGCTAGCTTTGAACTACCGACCTTGCAAGTAACAGCCCAAAGCACAACCTACTGTGCCACCAGGGCACCTATCTATGTGCACAGATAGAAGTATTTATGTGTACATGACATAGAGAGATGTGTATGTACTCATGTATCTTCATAGAGGACACAGTTACTGATCCGTCTCAGACAGAACCAAACACTTTATGAGAATAGTTTTCTACTTTTGAGAGTTTAGGAACAATCTTTACAAGCTTAGATGGAGCCGTAAGATTTAGATCTCTACTTGTCTGGGCAAAGGAAAAGGAAGCAAGCCAAAGTCTCAGGAGAAAGTAGTCTACCTGGCGAGTAGCCTGCATACGTCACTGCCTCATTGGCAGTGAGGGCACAAGGACCGGATGGTACGTGGCTCCCACCTCCCACTGCCGACTGTCCGGACTCGCACTGTGAGGGGCCCTCATACAGGGAGAAACACATGGCGCCAAGACCAGACTGACGGAACCAGTTTTGACTGAGGGCCTCCCTGGAACCACTGCAGTGAAGTACTCTTTCAACCCCGAACCGGCACGGTACCCTGAGATCACCTTTTAGCAAAGATAATAGATTGACATGCAAAATGCAGGCTATTCCCCGTGCGTGCGTGCAGTACTCCAGTATGAAACAAAGAGCTCCACAGCCGCTCTGAGGCAAAGGGGAAAAGCGAGTGGGGAGCATGGTGTGCCGGACCCTCGCAGCCAGCCTGCCGTGAAAGAGATGTTGGCACACTGAGAAAAGCAACCCGTGTCGCCCAACAGTCTGGGCAGAGACGGACGAGTGGGAACCAAGTGGCTGTTTTCACTTTTGCCCCAAAATGGTAACATCTTATTGGAAAGAAACAGTTACATACGGACACAATAAAGAACAGCAGTGAGCTATGTAGCAAGAACCAATCTAATCTATAGGTAGACAAGAAACACTCAGTTGGCTCTCGTTCACCAAGATACATAAAAGAGTTCTAAAACTATGTACAGAACTAGAGTCTGATAGCCCACAGAGTATGCGATAATTCTCTGTTGAAACATGAAATTTATACCACCCCCAAGGAAAGTGCCTCGCTCTTGAAATCAGGCTGTCCGTCACTGTTTGCGGAGGTACTGCACAGATGCTAATCAGCTGTTGTTGGTTGTGGAGGTACCGCACTGATGCTAATCAGCTGTCTTTGGTTGTGAAGGTACCGCACTGATGCTAATCAGCTGTCTTTGGTTGTGGAGGTACCGCACTGATGCTAATCAGCTGTCTTTGGTTGTGGAGGTACCGCACTGATGCTAATCAGCTGTCTTTGGTTGTGGAGGTACAGCACAGATGCTAATCAGCTGTCTTTGGTTGTGGAGGTACAGCACAGATGCTAATCAGCTG